CATAGGCACAAGGTCTTGGAATCATTGTTAATTCTTCTCTCATACACTGCATCCATTCAATCAGAAAAATTACCTTGGCTGTACATTCAAAATATATTCCGAGACACCTCTCACCACTTTCACTGCTACTACCTTGATTGAAGTCATTATTGGTGCAGCTGCCACCTGACTAGTCCTGCTTCCACCCTGGTCTCCTTTCTGGTCAGTTCTCAGCCCAGCAGTCTAAATATTCTGGTTAAAGCATCAGATTATATCACTCCTCTCTTGGAAATTTCCCCATGGTCTCTCATCTCATCCAGAGTAACAAAATCCTTACAGCAACCTGCAAGATCTGGCCCGTTTACCTCTCTGATTTCCTCTCCTACTTTTTGCTTCCTGATTTATTCTGTTCCAGCCATACTGGTCTCCTTGCTTTTCAATGAACAGCCTGGCACACTCCTTCAAAGGGACTTTATTCTAACTGTTTCCTCTACCTGGAATGCTCTCCCTCAGATATCTGCAAGGATATCCTTGTTTCTTTTTTTTCTTGTTTTTTTTTTTTTTCTTGCAAGGTAAGAAGTTTCTTTATCCCTTCAGGACCATCCTATTTCAGATTGTAACCCTCCTCTTCCTTGATACTTTACATCCTGTTTCCCTTTTAAATTTTTTTCCGTAGCCTATATCTCCACCTAATAGTCTATATATTTTACTTGTTTGTTTGTTTGTTTTCTCTGTATTCCTCCACTAAAATGGAAGCTTGATAAGGGCAGAGATTTTTTTTTTTTTTTTTTTTTTTTGGAGCCATGGCTCACGGGCCCAGCCGCCCCGCGGCATGTGGAATCTTCCCGGACCGGGGCACGAACCCGTGTCCCCTTCATCGGCAGGCGGACTCTCAACCACTGCGCCACCAGGGAAGCCCAAGGGCAGAGATTTTTGTCTCCAAGCATGTAGAACAGTGGCTTACACAAGTAGGTTTTTCAATAAATATCTGTTGAATAAATGAATGATTCAGTCAATCTTAGGGTTATTCTCAAGCAAACTGACATAAATCTCTTTCATGCTTCCCAATCATCATGATTCATATACCTCCTGAGATGTATTTTTGTAGTACCCATGACATATTTCTGAGATTTTAGCTTCTATTTAAATCTACCCAATGAACACTATTGTTTAACTTTATACTCTGTTCCACCATCTAACATTTGAAGGCTTGTTTCATTTTCTCTTAAGATCTTGAACTTTAAAAGTAATTTTATTAAAATTACATTGTTTACTTTTCTTTCATTTTCTGAGGTGTCTTAATTGATTTTTCAAGGTTCTTTAGTACTTTGCCTTCCTGAGAAGGGAATCTCTTTTTTTCCCCTAACTCAGTAACTTTCACAGTCATTAATGCAATGTTTTACACATACTGGGTACTCCGTAAAAATATTCATAGGAAAACTTACACAAACAAAATTGAAAAAATGGTCTGTATGTGGTCAAAAACCTCCAGCATCCCTATTTTCATGTACTATACTCAGCTAGAAGAGCTACCTTATGGGTGTTTTTTATTCATATTCTTTAATTTATTCATCATTTGGTGAATGTTTATTGAATTTTTATTATGTGCCATTCATTGCTCTGCCAATAAGAATCTCTACATTTAGTGGAGATATATAATAAATAAATACATTAAATTAGAATTGCATAGAAAAATACATCTTTGCCAAAATCCTGAGATTTAAGATTAACATACAGTCAAACTTCAAATTGGATTATCGCCATTATAGAATAAACTTAGGGTATAGTATATCTGAAATTTTATCCAATAAAATATAACTATTACTATAGCAGTAGAATTACAGAATTTTAGGAGTCAAATTTTGTACAGGGACAATAATTTCTCAATACTGTCAGCTGATTACTTCTGCCTATAGTCAACTCTCTTGCACATTTGGAATACTAAACAGTAGTCTATGATGATTGGCAGTTTTATAGAAGCAGTCCTATAAATCATGCTATTTGTACTGCTTGCAGAAGATAAATCTTGGGTCTAGAAATGTGACAATATAGCAACATAATTGGCTTTCAAGATAACAAAATCTTCTCTGAATTTTTATCTGCATCTCAGCTTTTATCACACACATGCCAATTTCAGCAGCTTCCTGGAGTATCACAGTAAGAGGATCTTTACAGCAGAAAACATGCATAGAATTTAAACTCTTAAGACAAGTTTGGTTTTTTGAAGAATTGGCAGGTTCTAGCAAACAAATTACTTTCCCTGAAAGTAACTGGTGATTGTTAGTAACATCTGCTATGTTAGTACCCTTATTTTCAAAACACTGTTTCAAGGCTTTCCTTGCTTTATACAGCCATTTTTACCACTTAAAGTCTTCTATTACATCTGGTATGAACATAGTTTATTAGTATAAAACAAGACAATTGAAAAATGTCTTTTATGTCATATAGTTTTATCTTTGGTTAAAGAAGAAGAATGAAAGTAGTTGACAATTTTTCTGCTATAGTCAATAAGTCTGTCCTATCAAATACTGTTATTATTTCTGAAAACCCAATGGAAAGTTGTGAACAAAACATTGCGTACCTTTGATTCCTAAATCAGTCATAGTCCTCACCACTATTCCATTGTCAATGATAAGTGCATGCTGATTTTCCATTCTATAATGTATCTTCTATCAGGTTCACTTTGTTGTTAGCTATTTGCAGCTGGAAAACTCTTCACAAGCAAGAAAAGCAGCGATTGGTTTCATTGTTAATTTACACATTGTCACACTTTAAAAGGACTTTAAGATATATACGCTTATCTAATTGTCTATTGCACATAATATTAAAGTAGAATATTTAATATTACTACCAATAATATTAAATTGTTTGTGAATAGTAAAAATAGTTTAGGAAAATATATTTCAGTCACATGTTTTCTAGGAAGAACCTTGAACATAAGGTCTATAGCTTAAAGAAATCTCAAAACTCCTCATACTTCATGTCCTGAAAACGATTGTTAATCTATATTAATGATTTTGTCAGGCTTTTTTTTAACCTCCATAAATTCAAAACCTCAATGAAAAATTGTTCCTAAATAAATATTCCTTTTAATGTCTATTGTTTTGACATTGTAAAAGTGAGAAAATAAATATTTGATGTATCTAATTTTTCTTTATTTTTTTCTTTTCTGTATTTTTAAAAATTGTTTATGCCTAGATTGAAGATGATTTATATTGGATTTTTTTGTAAATGATATTAGGGCCTTGTTTCTCCTTGAGAAAATTCAAGATGGCAAAGCTAATATTTCATTGTTACTTCATTCTCACAAGATAGAAAGTATTCCCAACTAGAACTTGAAGGACTCATGTTAAATAAAACTAAGTAACCTACAATTAAATTTTGTTCTTAATAATAATTTTATTTAGTGTTGCAAATGCAAGTATGTCAAACAATTTTACAAAGGTCTGAATTTCAAGATAACCAAATATGTATATTATTCTTCATATTAGTTAAATTTTTATTAATATTTCTTGACTAAAATGCTTCCAACATTTTTCCTTACACTTGTCTAGCTATTGTAGTCTCTCAATATTTGTAATAATTATAAATTTCTCTATTTATTGAACTCTAGAGTTCTTAATTTTCTTACATAAAATTAACAGTTTTCACGATTATTTTTAAAACTTTACTCTTGCAATAATAAACTCTCATTTATAGTTTAGAGCAAGAGAATTTCAACCTATAGAACACATAAGGAGTTATTTTCACTCCAAGTGGCATGTAAAATGCCCATTTATATGTGATAGTAAATAATCTAATATTTTAAATAAATCTAAATGTCATACCGTGTTGACATTTGTAACATTGTTACACTTATTAGATAGTGTAGTAACATCTGTGCTTATACACATATTTATATTATTCTTTTCTGGGAATGTCAGGACATTTTTAAAGTAAGCATCTATTTATTGGGCCTACCAGAAGGTGAAGGCAAATAGTAGATCTTGATGAAATATTGAAGCTGAACAGAACTTTATATCTAATAAATATCAGGATTCTGTAGAGAAAATTGATGTAGATTAAAGGAATTAGAAAGTTAATGGGTTGAAAAGGGTGACACTTCAGCATGAGTGGTCAGGTAAGGCCACTTAGGAGGTGATATTTAAACAGAGACTTGAATGAAGTAAGAAAGCAAATCATGAACATATCTGAGGGAAAAACAGATGTAGGCAGGGAACAGGCTAACTAGTTAAGAGGTTACTGCAGTAATCCAAGTGATAATATGGTGGTGTTATGGATTAGGGTGGTGGATGTGGAAATGAAGAAGTGCTAAGATTTTTATGTCAGACCTGTGAATTTGGCTGTGGGACATGGGAGAGATGTAAAAAATAATTTCAAGGTTTTGGTCTGAGCAATCAATTGAATTTCTCACTGAGCTGAAGGATTCTGGTGATAAAGAAGATTTCCTAGGGAAGAGGAAGGTGGTCTTGCAAATTTAGAATTCTGATTTGAACGTGTTTAGATAACTGTTAAACATCATGGTGGAAATGTCAGAAAAATAAGTGACAGGAAACAGGTAGGAAGAAGTAGGAGATACAATATTGGGAATCATAAGCATACTGGTCTTTAAAACTATAGGATTGACCAAGTAATGGTCCTGAGTACACCCCAATATTGGGAATTCCAGGAAAGGAGGAGGAGTCAATGATGGATGCCAAGAAGTTATAGTCAGGAAGACAGAAGAAAGACTGGGAGACTGTAGTGATTAAGAAGCCAAGAGAAGAAAGTGTTTTAAGAAGGTCAAAGTGTTTTAAAAAGGTCAAATACTATAGATGAAATTAGACAATGTTTTTTTGTTACGAAGTGGCACAGATAAATATCAATAGGATAATAGCTGGTGAGAAGAAGGACCAAGAGAGGGTATTTTTTGGTTTGGTTTGGTTTTTAGTGGGAACTATTTCACCATATCTGTATCCAATCTTTATCTTTCAAGTTTGCAGAGTTTTTAAATATGTGTTTTTGTATCTCCCTCCTCCTAGAACTGGGTAGAGAGAGCTGAAAAACAGACTCTTCTCTCTGATACACTTGACCTATCAGAACTCTTCCACCCAGACACATTTCTCAATGCGCTTCGCCAGGAAACTGCAAGGTAAATAGAATGAAATACTTATTTCTCTGAGAGGGTAATTATACTTTGATTTGTTCACTTCTGATCACATTCCCTTGATTGTCAACAAATAAATTTATTGTTGAATCCAGATAGTTGTGTTATTTCTTAATACTTGACGTTTAATAACAGTAAACTTCTAGTTTAGAGAACACTGCTTTCAATTATGACGTGTTTTATATTAGAATTGAAAAAGGCAAAATATAATTTTTAAAATTTTAGCCATTTATTTATCTACACCTATTGTGTCCAATATGGTAGGCAGAAGTCAAATGATGCTATTTAAATTTAAATGATTTATTCCTGATATTAGTGGATATGGTTTCAGTTTTTCACCATTCAGAATGATGGTGGCTGAGGGTTTGTAATATATGGCCTGTATTATGTTGAGGTGGGTGTTGAATTTTGTCAAAAGCTTTTTCTGCGTATGGTTTTTCTCCTTCAATTTGTTAATATGGTATATCACATTGATTGATTTGCATATATTGAATAATCCTTGCATTCCTGGGATAAACCCCACTTGATCATGGTGTATGATCCTTTTAATGTGCTGCTGGATTCTGTTTGCTAGTATTTTGGTGGATATTTTTGCATCTATGTTTACCAGTGTTATTGGCCTGTAGTTTTCTTTTTTTGTGACATCTTTGTCTGGTTTTGGTAACAGGGCCTCATAGAATGAGATTAGTAATGTTGCTCTCTTTGCTATATTTTGGAAGAGTTTGAGAAGGATAGTATTCACCTGTAAAGCCATCTGGTCCTGGTCTTTTCTTTGTTGGAAGATTAATCACAGTTTGTTGGAAGATTTTTAACACAGTTTCAATTTCAGTGCTTTTGATTGGTCCGTTTATATTTTCTATTTCTTCCTGGTTCAGTCTCAGAAGGTTGTGCTTTTCGAAGAATTTGTTCATTTCTTCCAATTGTCCATTTTACTAGTATGTAATTGCTTGTAATAATCTCTCATGATCCTTTGTATTTCTGCAGTGTCAGTTGTTACTTCTTTTTCATTTCTAATTCTACTGATTTGAGTCTTCTCTCTTTTTTCTTGAAGAGTCTGGCTAATGGTTTAACAATTTTATTTACCTTCTCAAAGAACCAGCTTTTAGTTTTATTGATCTTTGCTATTGTTTCATTCACTGTTTACAGATGACGTGATACTATACATAGAGAATCCTAAAGATGCTACCAGAAAACTACTACAGCTAATCAATGAATTTGGTAAAGTAGCAGGATACAAAATTAATGCACAGGAATCTGTTGCATTCCTATACACTAATGATGAAAAATCTGAAAGAGAAATTAAGGAAACACTCCCATTTACCACTGCAATAAAAAGAATAAAATACCTAGGAATAAACCTACCTAAGGAGACAAAAGACCTGTATGCAGAAAACTATAAGACACTGATGAAAGAAATTAAAGATGATACAAACAGATGGAGAGCTATACCATATACTTGGATTGCAAGAATCAACATTGTGAAAATGACTCTACTACCCAAAGGGATCTACAGATTCAATGCAATCCCTGTCAAACTACCACTGGCATTTTTCACAGAACTAGAACAAAAAAATTTCACAATTTATATGGAAACACAAAAGACCCCAAATAGCCAAATCAATCTTGAGAACGAAAAACGGAGCTGGAGGAATCAGACTCCCTGACTTCAGACTATACTACAAAGCTACAGTAATGAAGACAGTATGGTACTGGCACAAAAACAGATCAATTGAGCAGGATAGAAAGCCCAGAGATAAACCCACGCACATATGGACACCTTATCTTTGATAAAGGTGGCAGGAATGTAGTGGAGAAAGGACAGCCTCTTCAATAAGTGGTGCTGGGAAAACTGGACATGTAAAAGTATGAGATTAGATCACTCCCTAACACCATACACAAAAATAAGCTCAAAGTGGATTAAAGACCTAAATGTAAGGCCAGAAACTATCAAACTCTTAGAGGAAAACATAGGCAGAACACTCTATGACATAAATCACAGCAAGATCCTTCCTGACCCACCTCCTAGAGAAATGGAAAGAAAAACAAAAAGAAACCAATGGGACCTAATGAAACTTCAAAGCTTTTGCACAGCAAAGGAAACCATAAACAAGACCAAAAGACAACCCTCAGAATGGGAGAAAATATTTGCAAATGAAGCAACTGACAAAGGATTAATCTCCAAAATTTACAAGCAGCTCATGCAGCTCAATAACAAAAAAAGAAACAACCCAATCCAAAAATGGGCAGAAGACCTAAATAGACATTTCTCCAAAGAAGATATACAGACTGCCAACAAACACATGAAAGAATGCTCAACATCATTAATCATTAGAGAAATGCAAATCAAAACTACAATGAGATATCATCTCACACCAGTCAGAATGGCCATCATCAAAAAATCTAGAAACAATAAATGCTGGAGAGGGTGTGGAGAAAAGGGAACACTCTTGCACTGCTGGTGGGAATGTGAATTGGTTCAGCCACTATGGAGAACAGTATGGAGGTTCCTTAAAAAACTACAAATAGAACTACCATATGACCCAGCAATCCCACTACTAGGTATATACCCTGAGGAAACCAGAATTCAGAAAGAGTCATGTACCAAAATGTTCATTGCAGCTCTATTTACAATAGCCCGGAGATGGAAACAACCTAAGTGCCCGTCGTCGGATGAATGGATAAAGAAGATGTGGCACATATATACAATGGAATATTACTCAGCCATAAAAAGAAACGAAATTGAGCTATTTGTAATGAGGTGGATAGATCTAGAGTCTGTCATACAGAGTGAAGTAAGTCAGAAAGAGAAGGACAAATACCGTATGCTAACACATATATATGGAATTTAAGAAAAAAAAAATGTTATGAAGAACCTAGGGGTAAAACAGGAATAAAGACAGAGACCTACTGGAGAACAGACTTGAGGATATGGGGAGGGGGAAGGGTGAGGTGTGTTAGGGCGAGAGAGAGACATGGACATATATATACTAACAAACGTAAGGTAGATAGCCAGTGGGAAGCAGCCGCATGGCACAGGGAAACCGGCTCGGTTCTTTGTGGCTGTCTGGAGGGGTGGGATAGGGAGGGTGGGAGGGAGGGAGACAAAGAGGGAAGAGATATGGGAACATATATATATGTATAACTGACTCACTCTGTTATAAAGCAGAATAACACACCAAAAGCAATTATACCCCAATAGAGATGTTAAACAAAAAAAAGAGAAGAAAAACAGAGCTGAAGGAATCAGGCTCCCTGACCTCATACTATACTACAAAAGCTACAGTAATCAAGACAGTATGGTACTGGCACAAAAACAGACATGTAGATCAATGGAATAGGATAGAAAGCCCAGAGATAAACCCATGTGCATATGGTCACCTTATTTTTGATAAAGGAGGTCAGAATATACAATGGAGAAATGACATCCTCTTCAATAAATGGTGCTGGGAAAACTGGACAGCCACATGTGAAAAATGAAATTAGAACACTCCCTAACACCATACACAAAAATAAACTCAGATGGATTAAAGACCTAAATGTAAGGCCAGACACGATAAAACTCTTAGAGGAAAACATAGGCAGAACACTCTATGACATAAATCACAGCAAGATCCTGTTTGACCCACCTCCTAGAGAAGTGGAAATAAAACCAAAAATAAAAAAATGGGACCTAATGAAACTTCAAAGCTTTTGCACAGTAAAGGAAACCATAAACAAGACAAAAAGCCAACCCTCAAAATGAGAGAAACTATTTGCAAACATAGCAACTAACAAAGGATTAATCTCCAAATATACAACTCATGCAGCTCAATATCAAAAAAAAACCCAATCCAAAAATGGGCAGAAGACCTAAATGACATTTCTCCAGAGAAGATATACAGATTGCCAACAGACACATGTAAGCATGCTCAACATCACTAATCATTAGGGAAATGCAAATCAAAACTAACGCATATATATGGAATCTAAAAAAAAAATAGTTCTGAAGAACCTAGGGGCAGGACTAAAATAAAGTCACAGACATAGAGAATGGACTTGAGGACACAGGGATGGGGAAGGGTAAGCTGGGATGAAGTGAAAGAGTGGCATGGACATATATACACTACCAAATTTAAAATAGCTAGTGGGAAGCAGCCACATAGCACAGGGAGATCAGCTCCATGCTTTGTGACCACCTAGAGGGGTGGGAGGGAGATGCAAGAGGTAGGGGATATGGGGATATATGTATACATATAGCTGATTCACTTTGTTATACAGCAGCAACTAACACAACATTGTAGTGCAATTGTACTCCATTGAAGATGTAAAAAAAAATTAAATGATTTAAAGTTAAAATGGATTAAGGAGACTAGATGGTTGCGTAAGAGGATGTGACCCTCATCTTCTCCCCTGAACACACCTGAAATACATCTACAGGAGGAGCATTTCTCACTGAAAACTAACTGGAACTGGTAGAAGGACTCCTTTAAAACCGAGGCTGTAAGAAAAATACACATGTAATCAGGTAGGAAGGGAAGAAAAGCAATCAAATCAGGACCTGTGCCCAGAGAGGGGACTCAGAGGAAAAGGGTGATTATACGGGCAGACCCTAGCCCTGGGGAGTGAGTGGGTCAAGCCACAGACTAGGCATCCCAGTCCTGGGATCCTACATGGAGGAGATAAGCCCCCTCACTGGTTGGAGGAACACTGTGACAAATAGAAGGGCTGGGAGTATCCTGGGCTCCATTCAAGGGGAGTGTGTGTGCACAGGCTAGCCTCAGGGGCAGGGTGGAGAGAGGTCTGCTCTAGTGGCTGCTGAGTTTCCCGTGACTGCCTCATCATACACCCCAGACTGAGCTAAGCAAAAGCTCTGGCCCCTCTTAGTCCATGCCACAGTATGGCACTGGATCTGGGGTGGCCAGGACCAGGGAAAAGACTTGACTTTGGGATGCAGAGGTGACTTAGTCCCAGGGTGGACCCTGGGTGGGCTGTGGTGGCCATTGTTG